TTCCACTAAATTAACTAATGTGGAACTCACTCCCAATAATCATCAACAACGATTGTGCAAACCTCCCTGCGAAATTGTGAAAGCATCTTTGAATATTGTTACTGTGGTACATCTTAAACCATACAAAGTGATTTTGACACAATCATGAAAAACCTTATTCACCTGACTGTGCAACTTCATTAGACTTTAGGCAAGGTTCTTCTTCACTAACTGAACATAACTTGTACAGGCTACATGAATGATTGAACAAAATTTAGTTTATGCATGTGTATATTTTCACTCGATAGCAACTCTAACGACTTGCCTCTACTTGAAGCAAAACCCTAAGGCTCAACCTTACTTTTACTCTAGGCCAAAATTCTTTGAATACAATTTCGCATCTCATATAATTGTTGTAATTACCGATCATGACCAAAATAAGTCAACAATTCTTAATATCATAATTTATATCAATAGCGTACATAGTTGACTTGTACTAATCATATGAAGCTTCAAAAAAACCAAAGAAAAAGTACTCACACATTAATTTATTTCAATATTAAAATTCAACCTTCCAATTTATGGGTATATGGACTTTTTACCTCACCACTTATAGCAAATATCATTATCATTTGTTTTATAGTTGAACATACAAACATCTTGCTCACTCACGTGCCATGAACAAAGAATATTATCGCAATTCTTTCTATCTCTCTTATCTATGTAGATATTGAAGTAATGAAACGAGCCAGGCCATTCGAATGAACAGTAAAACAATGTTGTGCCCCAAAAGTTTGGACGAAAACTGAAATCGTAGCTAACCCAAGATGTCAGCTTGTGAACTCCCAAGTCATCATTTCTAGATTTGCAATGAACAGTGAGCTGATTTTTTACTTTGAGAGCATTTGTTATCTTGACGATAATCTCTGGATTTTGGAAGATTGATCCTTCGATGATAGGAAATTGTTTAGCTAAGAATAATAAGATCAAGAGAGAGAGTGCAAGTTTTGAAAATAAACTCATTTTGTTGAAATGAGAGAAAAACAGATACGATTGAACATATTTGTCCGGAGTTTGTTTCACTTTTATACTTGCAAAATTAGTTTTCATTGTCAACCACACCCATCAATCTAATGGATAAAAATATATTATTGTTAAATTTGGACAAGTGGTCACATATTAGGAGCTTATCAATTATTATTAGTATTTTAGTTATTTTAAGAAAACAACTCATTAGAGATATCCTTAACCATCGGTAGTTAACTGTATTTTAGGGTGTAATGGTATGGACCTTTAATACCATTAACCTTAAAGTTCTAGAGTGTAATGTTATGGACTTTTAACTTTAAAGTTGATGAACAAGGGTGACGCTTCAATATTTTGTATTCTTGTCATAAATGAGGGCAATTATGGACCTCTTTAGTAACACATTCTCATGTATAGTTTATAATAAAAATAGAATCGTGTTTGATAACAGGGTTTTTTTTTTAATTGAAAAATATGGACCCCTTTAGTAACTCCTCATTTATTGTCTATAATAAAAATAGAATTGTGTTCGATAAAAGAGTTGTTTTTTTTTTTTTTAATTGAAAATACATGTTTGAAACTTATTATGGGTTATTGTTATTTCAAGTTTTGAATTAAAAATCTAAAAGTATAATATGAAAATTAATTTTATGATGAGGTCATTCAGGTCCATCTAATTTAATTTTCATATTTCATAGTTTCTGATGACTTAGCTCAATCAAACTTTTGTCGGGACATCATATCTCATCACTGTTAGGTTTTATATCATAAAACTCATAGTGTGTAAACAAAAATTGTCGTTTACTGTTGAGACTGATTTTTTTCATTCGATGACCTAGGTAACTCGATCTTAATCCTGAGCTAACTATGAACTCCAGTTTATTCGGAATTATCCTTAGATTTGCATGGGTGAGATTGGCTCGAGTTCGCCGACTCAATAAGCCTACCATTTCAAAGGTAAGACTCGGTGAATAGCTGGGGACATAGGGTGCAAGATAGAATTCACTCCTACCCGCTTTTAGAGATAGTAGAGAGGTTGTTCCCTTAAGTACTGACTCTAGATCTTGAACAAGGAGCTCCACCCTCTCATTGGCCCGAGAGGGATTGGGTTTGGTAGTTGGACCACAAACCAATTGTTTATTAGAAAATCAGTGGGACTTAAGGAACAAGAAGTAACTTAAGGGGTAAAAACGATAAATTGACCTAGCTCTAGTTACGAACAACTTGTGAAGGATCGACTTACTAATCATGGTTATATCAAATGGACAAAAATATATCTATAGTGAGGGCAGTGCAACTACTAGTCTAGAGTGGAGTGTCCTAGTAGTTAACGAATGTTGGTTAAAAGGTTAATGAGTTTAACCGGTTAATCTTGGATCGTTGGAGCCCATGATCTGTAGGTCCATCCCCTTGCTAGCTCATATCTAACTAAACCTTAGAATAGTGTGGCAAGTGAGTTTGAAGTGTATAAACTCAAATTAGGGAATATGCGCTAAATATATACGATATATTTAACCGCATTTTGATTTAATTTATGAATTAAACAAAAGGAGAGAATTTGAGATGTTTAAATAAGATTTATATATTTTAATTATGAGGAGGAATTTATCATCAATATGTGTCGGAATTGATTGTGATTGGCATTTCATTTAATATTAAATATTAATTAAATTGTTTAATTAATCCTTTAATATTATTTTAATTTGAAATTAATTATTTAAATTAATTGTTGAATTAAAATAGAGAAAGTCAAAATGTTGACTTTAATGGAAAAATACATGTTTGAGTCAGTGGAATATTGAGTGTCAATGTATGGTTTAACAAACTTGCATGTTTTTCAAATAAACCCCACAAATTTGAGTGAAATTTTGAGTGTTAAAATTTTGTTTGACCAAACTTGCATGTTTGCAAATAAATCCCACAAATTTGAGTGAAATTTTGAGTGTCAAAATTTGGTAATCTCATGTTTGCATGAAGATGCAAATATGACTTATAAATAGAGTGATCAAGGTACATGTAAAGAAGGCTTGAAAAACTTTGAGAAATTATCTCAAAACTCTCTCTTTTCATATATTAAATTCCTATCAAGTTTAGTCACTCACCGGATTCCACAATCCCATTCTAAGGCTGAAGAATAGTAGGGAAGACACTAGTGGTGGTTCATAACCAGTTCGTGAGGAAAAAGAAATATTCAAACTCATTAAGTTTTAATGCTTTTGAACATGCTAGCTAATTTACTATAATTGATGTACTTAGAATGCATAAGATCCAAATTGCTTCTGTATGTGTTATAGTAACGCCATCAATCACTCAACTCCTTAATTCATATTTATCCATTAGATTTCTATACATGATCTTAAGATGAATTGGTTAACAATCTACATTTTCTTTTCTCAAGAACTTTGAAATTATATGTAGTTTAGGTTGCATGTTTAGAATCATTCAATCTTGACAAGATCCATCTCACTTGTAGAGTGATTCGAATCTCAAATAAGTGTTTTTACCTTGAAATATTCAATCAATAAGGTAATCCGAATCTTAACATCATAGTAGTGATTCTATCAAGTACCGGGAGATTTTTTTGTAAGCATGACTCATCAGCATTCAATAAGAAGTCCACTAAGTCGTGCGTAACTGAAGCTTGGGTGGAATTCATGGAAATTATCTTCAAATATTTCAATGACTTAAATGATCAGAAAGTTAACGGTGTCTTTTATATGCTCAGAGGAGAAGCTCACTTCTAGTGGAAGATTGGTGTCAGTTCCTTTAGGGAAACCACGAGGCTATGGGCAAGGTAAGAGAATGGGTAGGGCAACCGCATGCAAGAGGATTGAAGATTGTGACACCGTGGTGGAAGGTCTTTACCATTGATACCTTGCTTGTGTACTATTTGATTCAAGATTTATACGTTCATTAATTCCTGTCGCAAGACTAGAGCCTTTACGATACACATGGTCTGTATCCTTATTTTCAAGAGAAGTATTAGCAAAATACTAACACTTTCAATCCTATAAAGTAGTTGCATTAGAAAGAATCTTAGAGATATTGTTGATGGTACATACTTTAGAGGTACTATTGATTGTACAAGACATATTTGACTTTGACGTGATTCTCTACCTGCATTGGTTGGTTGAAAAATTATTCAATCATCGATTGTGGAGCCCATTAATTTATATTTACGCCACCCACCGGGTAGAGTTTCAAATTTAGGGTAGTGAACTTTTACTTTCACGGTGACCTCCACCTTGAAGGCAAGAAAGTTGATTAGCCTTGGGACCTGAACCCTATTGACTAGCGTGATCGATGTCCGAGACCTTGGAGGTAGTGCACCCTTACTACTTGTAGTACAAGAATTTGAAGATGTGTTATCCGACAACCTACCATAATTTCTGTCAACCATGGATATTGACATTGAAATTAAACTCGAGCTCAGGATGAACCGATCTCGAAAGCACTTTACAGCATAGCCCCAACTGAATTGAAGGAGCTCGAAGAGCAATTGTAAGAGTTGTCAGACAAATGCTTTATAAGGCCAAGTGTATCGCTCTTGAAAGCCTCAGTGCAATTCGTTAAAAAAAAAAATGGATATCTACGAACTGTAGAGAGTTGAACAAGATGACGATCCAGAATAAGTGAGAGTTGAACAAGGTGACGATCAAGACTAAGTATTGAGTATCCCACATTAACGAATTATTTTATAAGTTTTTGGGTGCCTCAATATTTTTCAAGATCAATTTAAGATCGGATTACCACTAACTAAGGATAAAAGAAAAAGACATTTAGAAGAAGATATGACTACTCTGAATTAAAAGTAATGTCTTCTGGATTGACTATGCCTTACAACTTTTATAGGCTTGATGAACAAAGTGTTCAAAGATTTCCTTGACACGTTTGTAATAATGTTTGTCACAACCCAAAATTTGAATCTCGAAATCAATGGTTGGACCAACCAACTATGCAATGAAATCATTTAAAAGCAAATGGACAAGACGAAATTACAAAAAAACTTTAGCGATTAGATAGAAAGTTTGAAATCCAAATCAAGGTGTTCCAATAGCATATGAGTTCAATGAAAAGTATGTAAATGGTTTACAAAACAACGCATGACAAATCTAAACAAAAAATATGCACAGACTCCTAGACGCCCCGGGACACTCGTGGCATTAAGATTCAGCACGCATTCCCGCCTCGAACCATGGCATCACTCACCTGAAAAAAAAAAAAAAAAAA